ATTGCTGCATCCAGCCTCTCATCAATAAAATGAAATCCTTGCATCGACTACTTGGGTGGTCCTGGTATTTTTGGTGTATATCCTAGTAACATTCTCCACACTGACTGTTCAGATGATTTCAGTATTCTTGATGGTATAAATAGCCAGCAATATCATTTGACATGGGATTCTCACAGCGATGGTCCAAGCGGTTTTGGTATTCTTGGTATATGCATAATTGTGTGTGTGTTGAAATTTCAGCAGGGCATTTCCGTTGCTGATTGCAGCACTAGCGACGAGATCGGACAGGAAATGTGGCGTAACAAGTGCGCGTAGCAGCGCCATTTCCTCCTTGCTCCAGGGCGCAACATTTCCTTAATCTACGCAATGGCTCGGCAAACATGTTTCCAGACCGTTAATAAATTCCGTAAATAAATTAACTTTTGTATTTCTGGCGAGAAATAATTTTTACAGTATCAGAGAAGTTAGTATTCTAGACCAGTGGCGTGCCTTGTGTGTGTGTGTATGTGTGCGCGTGTGTGTGTTGTGTATGTGTGTGCGTGTGTGTGTGTACGTGTCTGTGTGTGTATGTGTGGAAGACACCTAGTCATATATACATATTTTTAAGTAAAATAATAAAAGGCAATACAAAAAAAAAGATGATGAGGTTCTGGGAAGCCGAAGCTCCCCAGAACAAGGATAAGGAGAGAATAGCTTCTCGTTTAGCTTGAACTAGCTGTGGAATAATAACTTTTAGGGTCGTGCTAGACCCAAATCAATTTTTCCCTCATATCATTGCCAAAATTCTACTCGCCTCTACCCTTCCCTTCCTCTGTCGTTCTGAACCCAAGAATCACCAGTTTTTTAGAGAAAGCAATCAAGCCTGCTACGACTGAAATTAATTCACAGAAACTTCATATTACCTATTCAGAAATAACTCTTGAGTGGACTGACGATTAATAATCAACGCGACAGCAGTCGCACTGATGAGGTCCAGCTGTGGTGCTGAATGAGAATGTCTATGGTTTGATGGATCGAAACATTCCTGTTCCCTTAACTAATATTCATGCGTTTTTGCATATTTATGCAAATGCAAGAATGCATATTGTCAAGGATTTATATACGTATATAAGTTATATATGAGGAAGTTATACGCATAGGAAGGAGAAAGGATTGCTACGACAGCAGTCGCGCTGATGAGCTCCAACTGTGGTGCTGAATGAGAATGCGTATGGCTTGATGGGCCAAAAAATTTCTGTTCTGTTGAGTAATTTTTGTGCATTTTTGCATATTTATGCAAATGCAAGAATTCATATTGTCAAGAATTTATATATTTAAGTTATACATGTGGAATTTATGTGCATATGAAGGAGAAATAATTGTCTGAGGAGCGTGACTCTTAGTAAAATTGATAGTGTTTCGTAGCTGTGTGCTGATGTATGCAAGGAGATATCAACATCTCTCCGAGGATAAAAATACCCACCTTCCCACCCCCTCACACTGAAGTGAAACAAAGATATCAGTGCTTGAAAAGAGTTTGAGTATTATTTTACCCTCATAAAGTGCGATTGCTAAAACTCGGCTCGGCTCGGCTCGGCCGCGAATTCGTCCTTGGGTTCGGGTTCGTGTTGCGAGGATCGTGGAGTTTCGAGTTTTTTTGTCTGCGCGAGATTTTAGATGTCGCGTTCAAGGTTGCTAGCTTCCTCTCAATATCAGATTTCGCCCAGGCGCATGAAAGTTTGGTAAGGGCATGACGCGGAAATACAGGTTATACATGGGAGACTCATAGGGCACACCCCCCTGAACCCCCACCCTCCTCTAATTTTCAATTCCTCTCCTGGTAGATTTGGTTGGGGAATCAGGCTACTGATAAGGGTGTGCGCGAGTATTTATGACCTCCTTGCAGTGCACACAAATTGCTCCAATCCGATTTTAACAACCAGGTTGACCTTGAAAAGCCTAAAAATGGCAAAGGTGCGATAGATTACAGCATTATGAGAAAAGAGGGCAAGAGTGAGATAAGACATTTCGACCCATTGAGAGTCATATACGTCTTAACTCAACACCGCGCGACTGGACCTTGTCAGTATGACTGTGGCAGTGCTCTAAATTTCTACAATCGAAGCTTAGCGTTTTCGAAGGAGTAACGAAAGGTTGTTTTTGTTTTGCTGAGATTTTTGCTCTCTCTCTCTCTCTGTGTGATTTTTAGCGGCTAAAAATGGGTGTACTAAGCGCGGAACAACAAGCGGACGTGGACTGGATTGCACAGTTCGTGACGCGAACCCAAATCGAGCAGTTGTCACCGGTTGAGTTCGGAGCGGCTCTCAAAAATCGCATGCGAACTGTTGGTGTTAGCGAGCATCAGATGAAGACAATCGCATGTATGTTTGATTTTTTTTTACAAAAAAAGCTAATTTTTTTCTAAAATTATTTTTTTGCCTAATTTTTTCTAAAATTATTTTGTGCCTAATTTTTTTAAAGTTATTTTTATGCCTCAGAACCTTAAATTCTCTCCCCACAACTCACTTTCTCAAGAAATTCTGGGAACACTCAGAAAGTTGTTCAAATAATAGCATGCAATAAGAGGAACCAGTTGTTATCAAAGCTGTCGATGGTTCCCCCTCTTTTTTGCTTAAATTTTGATAATTTGCTGAAAAAATTGCAATTTTTCCAGTATTATTTTCTGAAGAATTATTAATTTATTTTTATAAAATATTTTATTTGAACATTCTGCTTTTTCATTTTCATGTTTGTAGTGCATTATTTTAAATTAAATGATTTCTATTATTATTGTTATCATTACCATTACCACTGTTATTATTTTTGTTGTTATTATTATCATTATTATCGTTGTCGTTATTATTATTGTTGACATTACTAATATTATCATTATTATTATTGCTTTTGTTATCACTATGATCATGATTATTATCATTATTACTATTATCATTACTGCTGTCATCATTATTATTATCGTTATTATTATTATCATTGTTATCATCATTATTATTATATTGTTATTATATTACGAATATCATTATTTGTTATCATTTATATTGTTATTATGATCGCTGTAATGCTTATTGTTATTTTTAGTATTTCTGATTCGTTATTAATGTTGCAAAAATTACTTTTTATTATTATAACGATTTTATTTTTCATTGTATAATTTTGTTTTTCCCATTTCAGCGATGCTTTTGCGTACTGCCACCTCATCAGTAACGCCTGATCAGCGAA